ATGTCTACTTCATCATGATACAAAATATTGCACTGACTTTTATTCCACCACAGAACCAAACTTCACTCTCACACTCTCACGGCCCATTTCCCGGCTGAGCAATCTGATTTCCAGCAATCTGAGCCATGTATGTTGTCATGAAGCTGTGATGCCAGAGGTGCCGTGATGCTAAATGAACTGACCACAGTCCTGCTATCAGGTACATTCTCATGGAGACCATTAGTGCTGCTGTCCCCTGAGGCAGGCCTTTGAATAATGCATGTGAGAGCTCAGGCTCTCAGTGGCCTGAGGCATATCCACCGCTCTTGTTACCTCTCATGGCATATCCTGTCAGAGTCACAGGTCAACATGTCGCCTGCTGGACTGTGTTACACACGGCTCAAACCACCACAGACAGATTCTGGTTTCAAAAGCAGAGCAGAGCAACGAAAGTAATCACTGGCTTTTATAAAGAGCTCGTAATAGGTGGACAATGGCCGTACTTTTCTTTTTCACTGATTCTTCCAAACCTTATTCTATTTTGCATTGCCAGAAGGATGTAAGGATCTTACTTAGTTACTTTTATGAGGCAGAAATCTGAGACGTTACTTGTGAAAAATTAAATTATTAAATATTATAAAATAACTGTTTTCTATTTTAATATGGTGGTTGAGGAGATTCTCCCTTATATGTAAAGCGCTTTGAGTGCCGAGAAAAGCGCAATATATAAATGTAATGAATTATTATTATTATTATATTTTAAAATGAATTTTAAGCATCATTACTAAAGTCTTCAGTGTCATATGAGCCTTCAGAAACCAGTATGCTCAAGATACATTTTTTATTATTTATTACTAATAAATGATACCATTTAATATGTTGAACACAGTTGGTCTTGATATTTTTGATCAATTTTAAGCATCCTTGCTGAATAAAAGTATTAAAGTTTTGACACTGGAAAATACAGTGCAAAAATTGTTGAGAACAAACATCTTGGAAAAAGTCAAAAAAAAATAACAACAAAGAAGTAGTTGTATGCCCAACAATTCACAATACTATTAACATAACATTTACTGAATAGGAAAACTAACTATTTAGTAAATGCATAAAAAAAAAAGTTATTGTTTTGAGTATTTGGTTGAATTTTGATGGTTTCATGCTTTAAATTTTCAATGCAAAACATCGTGGTTTGTGGTTCTGATAGCAAGTGAACCCGTATTTATTATAGACCCATATTTTCTTGCATAGCTTTGTTCGTGGTTTTCAAGGATGAAGTCATGCAAACTCTTCATCTTGACTTCTGTTTAATTTATCAAGCTTCTACTAAGTGACTGAGGAATTTGTGCCAAAATACAGAGGTCGATTGGACACATGACATACACAAGAAAATATACAGCGTTTTCTCCCTTTTAAATTTAGAAGCCTATTTATTATTCGATCCTAATTAAGCACGATTCCATAGTTGCATTTAATTGTTTGCAGCTTTTTGCTTCCCTGATCTTCCTGAGATATCTGGTAAGAAATAAACTGGAACTAACACACCTGAAACTTTTCTTTTTAGATACAGAAACACACACACACACACACACACACACACACGCAGTGTTCAGTCTTAATTAGAGTGAATGAAAGGATTGTGTGTGGGCTGGAGGAGGGAAATGAGTGTAGTGCTCTGCTGAAAGTGATCCCTGTCACACACACAGGATGTCTGCTCACTCTCCCAAAAGCCTCCATCACACACACACACACACACATAACACATATATATATATATATATATATATATATATATATTAAGGAACTGAGGACCTAAGAGAGGGGCATCAAAATAGAGAGAGTGGGACAGCTGCCGATTCCCACAAAGTCTGTTGTTGTGGGAAGAGCGGACTGGAATTCCCCCATTCATGTATGTAAAGGCACCCGCAGTCCCCGTAATGACTCGCAATGACCACAAAGCCTTTATAAGACTTCACTATATCAACAATCTCTCATTGTTGCCATTCTGCACACATTCGTGCAAGCCAAGCCAGAGACGTTTCTCTTCTAGACAATTCTCTCAGAACACTCTTACTCACACACATATACAAATGGAGAAGACATTAAAGGGATAGCTGACTCAAAGATGACAATTCTGTCATAATTTACTCACCGTCATGTCTTTCCAAAACTATGACTTCCTTTCTTCCGTGAAACCAAAAAAGAAGATATAGCAATTCGAATGTTGGACTAACTTAAATTAAACATTAGGGCAAACTTAAATTAGTTTAATCCAATTAACTTTTATAAGTATTTAGAACTTGTACTTTTGAGTTCACAAAACTGACACTTTTTAAGTAATCTGAATTGTTTCATTGTTTTGAGTTTTGTGAACTGCCTTCTTTTAATTTCGCCAAACTTAACATTAACTGAAACTGGGCTAGGATTTCTATTTCCCATGCAGCGTGCTTTGTCGTGGCATTTGAAAGGGAGAGTACATGCTAAATTGAAGTGTTATATAATGTTTTTTGAGTAAAATGGGAGATTTCTATGTGTTTTGCTATGTTCATAAGAAGAGTTTCTGTTATGTTGGGAGCATGAGCTTAGTTTGAGAAGAGGTACATATTAAATGTTCTATAATGATGTACTCATTCAGTAATTGCTGTGCAAATGCTATCAAAGCATTGTGTTACCAATTAGCAAGTTAGCATTTATTGAATTAACTACACTGTAAAAATGAATATGCTTTATCTAATCAATAAAATTGTGGCAACAGATTACAAGCAATATTATTTATTAAATTGAACAAATAAGAATTCAGTAATAGTTAATCAAATTAACATTCTAATTTGTACAATTTAATTAATAATATTGCTTGTAATATTTTGCCACAATTTTATTGATTAGATAAAAATCAGCTAAAAATGTAGTTAAAGCTTGCCAAGTTTCCACAACTAAAAATATTTAAGTTGAGAGTATAGCGATGATTTTAAGTGAAATGAATGAATAAGCTTACTCAAATATTTTAAGTTAAGAGTAAATACAAATATATGAGTAAAAAATAAAAATCTGCAATTTCTTAACTTAAAAAATTGATGATATAGTTTTGCTAGTAATTTCGGGTTTTTACTTTGAACTATATATTGTCACATTTTTCATACACTGTAGCAAACAAAAATATATGGAATGTTTTTTTTTTTTTTTCCTGAAATGTTTTAGCTGGATATTCATCTAACATTTTTAAAAATAATGTTCCCATAATGTTTGCAAAATTATAACTCTCCCTTAATGTTTTCTCTCACATTTTTAATGACTTTATGTTTAGAGAACGTTTCGAAATAATATGTCATAACACGTAACACCCAAAGTTCTTTTTTATAGGGATTTGGTGTTTAGTGAAAAAAATTCAGTTGTAAATAAATGAAGAATAATGCGGTAGACTTATTAGGATTATAAAATTCGAAGTTTGTTGTTGAACAATCCTAATCAATTTGAAAACGTCCAGAAGTTTTGGCACTGTTTTAGCACTTAGTACAAGACTTGTGAAACGGAGCGCGAGGGAGAATATTATTCCAGGGTGTTTTGGCACCAGAGGACAGCTCTATGAAAGGTTACCCAGGTGGTCTTTCCTCAACTTCTCCGTCTCTCCCCCAGCAGAATGTCAGTTTCAATTCCCTGGCTCAATCCCCCAGTCCCTTACCCAAATCATCATGTGAACCTCGGATTGCTTAAATATGGGCCCGTGAATCTGATACTCTGTTGGGTTTGGAGTCTTGACGGAGGTGCTGAGAGCCGGCTGATGAGGGGGCCCAGCCGTCCGCCATATTGCCGCCCAGTATGCCGTGTCATGTTCTCTGAACAATCGCCCGTGTCCCTCTAGTTGGGTAAACAACAGAGGCTGTCAGCCGGTGTCAGGTTTGGGCTTTTCAAAGCAAAAGAAGGAGAATGACAGATGACTGCTCTGAGTGTAGCCGACACTTCGCTGATAATGGTGATCCGAGTGCTGATATGGGGAGGCAGAGTACGATGGGTGAGCGAGATATACCCGGTAAAACATACAGAACCCACAGTTTTAACAAACACACTGCTGGGAAAGACTGCGAGGCGCTTTCAGTGAGATTCCCTGGCTCATCCGTGGTGGAATTCGACATGCGTTGAGGTTGAATCGCACCCACAATAGTGAGTTAGCAATGGAGAGCTGAATTCAAGGCACGTTCAACTGCATGAAAATGAGAATAAATAAAAGAAAGAAGTAACTGGATAGAATGGATATGAGCCAAAGTAGGAGTGAGCCAATAATCAGTAATAACAATATTTGTTTGAATAAGTTGAAAGACACCTTATTCCTGTGTTAAGAAAATGCAATATTTTAGTCATTTAATTGAATGTGATTCACAGTAAGTGGTGATTTACACAACACACTTTAAAACATTTAAATACAATTGAATGAACCCTACAAGTTCAAGTGATTTATTTTGTGCCTAATTAGAGAGCAAAAATAGCCTAAGTAATAACACAAATATTATATGTTCAAATAAAAAGGTCATTTTTCCTCTGTTAAAAATAAAATAATAATATTTTAGTCATTTAATTTTTATTTGGTTCACATAAAGTGCTGATTTATAAAACTTTTTTTTTTAAATCCAAATAAACGCGAATTAATATTTGTAATTATATTATTGATTGTTCACATAATAAGGTGAAAGGTGCTTTTTTTTTCCTGTTAAGAAAAATTGTAATTTTAAGATGGTTCACTTTTTTCCACTCTGTCCATCAGGACAAAATTATAGAAATAACAGAGAATACTTTGGTGATAGAAATCTGGTCAGTGTCAGCTGCGAGATGCACAGATGAAGGGACCATATTTAATGTCAGCCTTTCGGATTCCTTGGTGTAAATCAGCTGACCCTTTCACAAACTGCTCGATGAATTAAGCTCCACAGAACACTTTCATTAAATTGAACTCAAACTAATCTGTTCAGGGTTCATGGGGTTGACAAGCCACAAAAAAAACAACATGTCTGACACGGCCGGCACGAGCGTACCTGTAACCTGAGCCGAGGGACGGTGGCGTGCCAAAACTCGGGAACCCGCACGCAGAGAAAGAGTCCAGTTAGAGCGGATCCCCACCCCACACATCAGCTCTCGAGTGCTGGCCAGGCCTGCACAGTGGGGTCCCTCCATCTGGACACATTTCTACCCTGACAGGAGCCATAGCTGCATTAATGAACGTATTCACATATGGCCCACTCAGGACTGTCACTGCTGGAGATGGAGAGCAGACTGGAGGACTGGACTGTGTGAGAGAGAAAAATCTGTGAGTTTCCTTAAACACAAAACTCTCGATCTATAGCCCATCTGTCAACCATTATGGGCCCGGGCCGTCAGCTGAATAACAGCGCTCCTCCTAGGCCTAAATGGAGGGGTCATTTTTGTTCAACAGAAAGAAAAGTAAAACATCATGCAGATGAAAATACTAAAGATGTATTCTGAATTAATAATTCAACATGATGTGTATATGACATGGAGCATTTGTCAAATTCATGTCATTCTAGGCTACATGTTGCAGGTCTAATTGACCAATTTGATGTTGATAAAATGCTTTTTTTTATGTGCATTTATGAATTACATTTTGTTTTTGTTTTTAAAGAGAATGATACTTTGGGATTAAAGATCTTTTCATCCTTAAGAACTTGCCTTGATTTCGTGCAACATAATAAAAACTTGCTTTTGAAGTCTTGAAGGCTATAAATTGCACATAAATGTCAAAGGAGATATAAAGTTAATAAATAAATTATAGAGTAAACGGAGCAAATGTTAAATCCACATTAATGAAACGTTTTATAAGTTATCTCGTAAAAATAAAACTTTTTATGAGGAACAAAACAACCACTGAAAATGGCGATGCCAAGAGTTTTATGGACGGATAATAGCGACCTCTTGTGGGCCCACTAAGAAGTGGCAGGGTTTAACATCAAATAAAATATTTTAATTCTAAAAAGTCCAGATTTTGGGTCTTCATTTGACAATTTTAATATACGAAATATTAAGTCAATGAAAAAGTAGCCTAATGAAGGAAAAATATAAGAAAATGAAAAGAAAAACTTTTGCTGTGGAAGGTACACAACCAAATAGGCCTATTTCTTTAATTTTATATCTTTAATGCAATTGGGTGAAAAACTCAACCAATCCGATTCAACCTTCTCTCTGATTGGAAGGTGGAAACCTGTCAATCAAATGGAAAATAGGAGGAGCTTAAGTTCTACACCGAAACCAATGGTCAGTTACAAGAAAGCTTCCTAAAGTAAAGAGCTCCGTATTATTACCTAAAGCTCGCTCAACTATCCCGAGCAGACAGGTTTAGACGCAATCCTCGATTAGTATCATTTTTACATTTTACAATTACATTAGGCCTATTATTAATTTGATTATTAATTATTCATTTTTTGGCATTAAAGTGTATTTATTATAGTCATTCGACACAATAATACTAATCCAAAACAAATCAACAAAGAATTTGCGATGATAGAACTGTAGTCCATCTAAATATAGCCTACTAATTAACACTAATATTCTATATCCATATGGTAATTTTTGAGCCATAATGCCATAATACCCTAATTATATATGTATATATTTTATATAGGCTATAACTATAGCCTAAACAAGTAAAATAACAATAGCCAAATAACAATAATAAAGTAACTAATATAATTATTCCTTGGCCCTAAAAGTTCATTTTCAGTGTCTTCTAATTATATTGACACGGATAAACCATTAATCAGTGAACTCGAGCTGTAGGTTGTTTTATAAATGCACAAAAAAGTTTTATAAATGAGTGGCGCATGCGCCCTCCAGTGTCCTTCGACTACATTACAACTGTGACGTCATCACAACACAAGGTATTTCCCTATCTACATCTTTTCTAAACCGAGACGCAAAAGTTTCTATATACACAATAAATCAACGTTTCTTTTTAACAAACAAAATCATCTGACAGTAAAAACTGCAACTGTTGCCAATATGAGTGCAAATCATCGAAATCAAAATATAGTAGCCAAATCTAAGAGCGTTTTGCGCTACATTATCCTGTGTCAGATTAAACCCTTCCCTAAAAAAAACGTCTGTGTGCGCAGAGAAATTCAGCCAGGTCTTGCTCTGGTCTCGGGATGCGCCTTTAAGGATTCCTCCCCCGGTTTCCTGAACTGACCTCTTCCCTTTGAAACCACTTCCTCCCCTTCTCCCAATCGGCCATGTTTAATTTGACTCATTCATGAAAAGTTATGTAAACACAACAGTAAAGCCATGATCGTGAAGGCGACATAGTAAGCGATGCTAGATTACTGACCAGCACTGTGATCTTCCGTGTGGATGCACCGCGTTGTCTGTACTGAGACTGATCATTTGCACGACCAGTAATCGCCAGCAGTGGGAATAAAAGAATAGCGCGTGAACTGCGCGTGAGGCTTCGGCAGGTGGGCACGCGCACTCATCAAATTCATACCAGTGGCGTAGAATGAACATAATCAAATACATCAAAACAACCATTCATAATATTAACCTGCTTGGTCAGTGACTGTGAAAGTTTAGCTAGTTGGAAATGATACGTCATAAATATTGTGGGGATTTGACTGGCGTATTGTAAACGTATTGTTGCCATTGTTTCATTGGATTTCCTTGATGTCAAGTCAAGTGCAACATCGCTTGATACATTAACAGAAAACATACATAAGTATCAAGTGGAAAATTATTTTAAAAGTCCTCCGACTTTATTGTTAACAACAATTCTATGTATAAAGTAGTAGCCTATTTGTGATATCTGGGCCTATCATAAACCAAATCATCGTCACGAACTAATTTCCTTAAAAAGTCTCTTTATGTCAAATTATCCTATTTTATTAGGTACATGTCTGCTAAACCTAATATAAATAGATTTTGAAATATGTAAGCCTTTGAAAATATTATTAAATGCTGTGTTTTATAGGACATCATGAGGAAAAAGCAGAATGTGAAAAACAGGAAAGCAGAAGAGACAACCGTTGTCCAAGAGTTTGCAGTGGAAAAAATCATCCGCAGAAGAGTCAACGATGGAAAGGTTGAATACTATCTAAAGTGGAAAGGCTTTACAGAGTAAGTGTCTGGAACAATGTTGCCTGTGTGTGTCAAAAATCTATTTAATATATCTACCAGTATATGACAGGTCTGTAGTAATTCCATCAGTGCAGAGAATACCTGGGAGCCAGAGGACAACATGGATTGTCCTGAGCTGATAGAGGAGTTTCTCAGAAACCTAGCCGTCTCAGGAGAGACAGATCAAGAGGGGTGTCAATCTCTAGACCATGAGTTCCAGCCCAAGCAAGAGTTAACTGAGCTAGACGCTGATACGGTTAGTGTCTTTATATACTGCTGTGACACTCACTTTCACTCCTACAGGTATTACTGCACTACACAGTTTCAAGATAAACATTACAATTCCTGAATATCAATACATTTAATTGCAATTTATAAAATGCTAAATACTTTCCATATTATGAATAATTGTTGTGTAGAAAGCAGTGAAGTCCAATCTTGGATCTGGAGGGCCACCTTCCTGCATTTTTTAGCTCCAACCCTATTAAACACACCTAAACCAGCTAATCGAGGTCATCAGGATTTTTGGAACAGGGTGGAGCTAATCTCAGCAGAAGGGTGGTTCTCCACGAGCAGGATTGCGCACCTTTAGTATTGAGTTTTAGTTATTTCCAAAACCTTGTCAGGCTTAATGCTCATTTAGTTCAGTGTCTGGAATCATGCAGGCTCACCAGCAGCTTCAGGAAGAACTCATTGAGAGAGGTAATGAGGAGGTTGGTGATCACAGCGCTGAGATCCCAGCAGGACAATCCAGCCACCCAGAACCCGACCGCATCATCGGCTGCACAGACCAACAAGGAGAGATGATGTTTCTCATCAAGTGGTAATACTTCTGCTCTGGACCATTTGTGGAGATTTTTGTCATTCCACACTGCTTTGTTCATTATAAATGCAATGTAAATCACTACATTTTTTTTAGATGTTGTAACGATAATCTTTAGTATTAAATTGTGCAATCAGTATGTTTCACACCACATAATTGTAAAATTGTTTAGAAATAATTAGAATAGAAGCACATTGTTGAAAATGAAAAAAAAATGAAAATGAAAAATAGAAAAAATAAAATCTAATTCAAAAGTTAAAACAAAAAAAGTATATTATTGCAGTAATATTAAAATAATAATATGACCATACTCTTTCAGTGTTGTTTTGTATGAAATACTATAACATACTAGTTTAGGTTTTAGTGATTTTGATTTATCATTTTTTTTCCATTAGTTTTGGGGATTTACATTAAATATTAACCTAATTGAATTGACTTTTTTTATTTTAGTTACTTGCTAAGTTTAAGTTTTTCTTTCAACTTTAATTTAACGTAAACCATTTTTAATCCTTTTAGTTTTAGTTAACAATAACAATACTTTTCTGTTTAAAGTTAATAAAGTTAATTAAGCTCTTCTTCAACACACAAATTGAGATGAAGAAGATCTAAAACACCCTCACAGCAAAAAGATGGCGTCGTTTCCAATTCTGTTGCCGGTGATTATGTGCTTTTAATTTGCCGCGTTTGTCCATTAACACTGATCATTATTTCTTTATTTCATCGCAGGAAAAACACAGATGAGGTAGCTTTACTGTCAGCCAGGGAGGCCAGTAAAAGGTGGCCCCAGATGGTAATCCGCTTTTACGAGGATAAGCTGACCTGGCATGGTGAAGACGAGCAGTGAGAGGGAAATATGTAGCAGTGATAACTACTGTACCTCCTGGCAGCTTTACACATACACAAACACTGTGGCATAAGTTTACTGTTTGACATAGCGTGTTTTCAAAGTGTGTGAATCCACAGCCCAATGTGAAGCTCTTCCTAACACACTAACCTGTAGAAATGTGAGTGGAGTATTAGAGCGCTACTGTAGTGTACAAGTGGTTTATTAATCGAACGTTGTTGTGTCTCTTGGTCTGTTGTTTGAAAAGTTCACTTGTGATGTTCATTCTTCTGTCCTCTTTGTTACTATGATCTGAACTGTGATTTAACATAGGAGATGATGACGGATGTACAAAACCTGCTCGAGAGGAACTGTTTGTTGTGTAAATGTACTGCAAACCCCCTGGATACGCACTTACTCGAATTATACTGTGATGGATCCCGTGATCTGTGAGAGCATAAAGTGTGGCTCATGCAGGTATTAAATCCTTAGATTTGCACAAAACAGATTCTGGAATGTAGCCTATACAATCACATTTTTGTGAACATCGACATACTTGTCAGCGTCACTTTCATAGCAGTAGTGTCTTTGAGG